TTTGACGATCTTCATGCATAAACATCGTCGTTTTATCCAAATCGTTGTCAATTGGATTTGTAAAATTATGCGAGAGTATAACGTAGAATAAATAAATACAAATCGAGAGAGCGATCAAGGTTTTTCCCGCCATTATGCAAATCGTTTAGCCTATTGCGATGTCGAAGAAGTTGGTGAAATACTCATCTAACTACAAGTTCACCTTTTATAGAGTCCATCGGAAAAGACATTTTTCGAACACAAGTGAATATGTAAGCACTTGAAAAGCTGTAATTCTGCAACGTCCCCTTTCCTAACTATCGGATAATCATACATCTTCCTAGTTTACCTTAACGACGAATGAACTTCCTTCTTTAGCTAAGGTTGGGATGAAAAATGATGTTTCTGTCGGAAAATTATGGCTTAATAATGGTGTAAATGGAAAGATCTAAAGAATGCAGCAACTGTTCTTTTTTAGGGCGACTGAAGTTAATTGCATAAGGTGAGAGGATTCCCGCGAAGTCACCCAGTCTTTGCAAATACGTAATAACCGTCTCTACTGAGAGAAGTCCATTCCAGTGTCTTAATTTCACAAATGCATTTTTCAAAATTTACTTTAGAGTAGTTGAATAATGTAATTACTGAAAACACAGAACAACAAGGACTCCAACAAAGAAGCTCCCACTACTGTAACCCAACTACATGGTACCTTTAAAGTGACACAGGAGATTATAAACTCTCTTAACTGCCACTAACGCCTAAAACTTTTTCCTACAGAAGAAATTTCCTTGTCCTCTTGATCATTACAGTGAAAGAATTATTGCAATCCAATAAAACCTCGCAATTCTACAAGCAGTTAAAGCTCAATTTTTCGGGGGCTTAGTGGCACTCTTAATTAAATCTATTAAAAACAGTTACCTGCATAAACTGCTGTATTGATCATATAGGGTGCTGACTGGGCATCAAAGATCGGGGAATCCCCAGGTTACCAAGCAGATGTCTTTGGCTAAATTCCTATACGGCAGAGTCGTTATGTTGCATATTCTCTGATGCCACTGAAGAGTTTTCGCAGTTGTTCACGGAGTTTCATTGCTCTAATAGATCGTAAAATGAGCGTATATCCCGGCCCTCTTTATTATCATGTTTCAGTTTCATATTACTTCCACTAGTGTTGGGATTCTGACGTGCCCAACCATGTTAGTGTCAACGTAACCCATTGGATGTAAATGATGGAAATTTTCAACCAGACAGTCTTCTCCTCTGAAAACAAAAGTGGTTAGGGGTGATGATTGTTGTATTTTCACAAGAAAAGATTTGCTAATCATGAGATACCAGTACAATGTGATGTTTTCCTGTTGCAACATTTTTCTGTCAGACTCCAGGTTTTTAGAGAACGGAAACTCTAAACGTGTTCAAGAATTCCATCATATTTCATCTCTAGGTTTGTTTTATTGGCCAGAGCTGTTTGCTTTCCGTGGTAATGCCTTTTAGAGGGCGTTGATACAAAAGCCTTTTTTATTTAGCAATCATCTTTCTGATGGTTAGTTTCTTGGTGTAATTTTTTCCCTGTAAGCACGTAACAACTTTTTTCCCAAAAACCTTACTGTGTTGTGATTTAATCCTTTGGTAAATCATAGTTGAGAAAACTTGCCTTGTATCTTGTAGTAATATATGTAGTGACCTACCTTAAGTTTTTATCATTTTAAAAACATACCATTAACGGCGGTTTTCACAAAGAGTTGTTCCGTGAAGATATCATTAGGTTTGAAGTCAAGAATTGCATGCACAAGAAGTGCGCAGTGATTGAATTTGCTACAAGTCGAGGTTTGGTTATCATGAAAAATTTAGTTTGACACATCAAGTGGTGGTTAGTCGTCTCGACTCGTAATTAAACTCCTTCCCCTTACTTCCGCCATTGCCATTAACTCAATAAAAATGATTATTCTAAGATTTGATTCATTCTCTGGGACACTTGAAAAGATTCAAACTTCTGGACGCCGGTCGAGTGCCTTTAACAGTGATCAGCAACAAATTCATCCCTACAACATCAGCACTTTGTTACCATTCAGGAGAATATATACGGTAATTATGGGGATTAAATGGCTGATAGTGTTATCTAAAAAGGCTAGTAGCGTATGACTGAGCGTGGAGACAAAAACAATGGAATAACGGCACAATCTAAATCATATGTGCTCAGACATTCTGAGAACAATGACTAACGACTGTCCTGCCTGTTACTGTGTAGTAGTCGAAAAATGGTTGGTCGCTTTTATTCAAATCTATAGAATGGTTACGGAATACGTTTTTTGGTTCTATTATTAAAGTTCACAAACTTTCGAGGCGTGAGACAAAAGCGACGGAAGATAATTCGGAACTATATGAGGAAATATTGAAAGGCGGAGCAAACGTACCGTACCGGAAACTGTGTTTCAGTTTGATTTAAAGTGCTTACGTACTTTTTGGATAATTTTCTTGGTTTATCGGTCTCTTCATCTCTCACCTTATTATCGTGATCTCTGAGATAAAGTATTCAAGACCCATTATTAATTCGTACATTTTTGTGTTTGACGCGTGAAAAGCATTAAATCAAAGATGTTAATTATGGAAAGATTTCTTGCTGAAAGTTTGAAAGAAATAACTGCCTTTGCCTTTTCGCTTTCGGAATGTTTGTTTTTATAAGAGTTTGCTTTATGTTATTCAGTTTACCCTGGCTTCTGAGTTTGTAATTTAGTTATGCTTTAGTTTGGCTTGGAAATTATAAACTGATTAATCGTCATTTATTCAAATATCATTGATGGGAATTATTTTATTTAACTTTATTAAAAACATATTACAAAAACTGGACACAACTAATTTCCATACATGCCGTAAAGCACCTAAATAGGTACAAACAGTAATTGTTTAAAAATATATATTTTAAAAAAGGTAACATTTTAGTTTTTCAAAAGGATGCTTTCTTCGGATAACATACCTTGTAGGGACTCTCTTTTTCAGTTAAATGCCGCATAACATGTTATTAAAGTTTAGGATTTACATACACAATTTGTATCAAAAACTTTGCCACATTCTTTGAAATAGGTCTTTTGGATGGCACAAATCGCTGAAGTACGTAGACAAGCTATACTATATTTTCTACACTTGACTGTCACAACCATACGACTGCCACAGGATTCCGTTCTTGTGCTGATCAGACATCCTGGTACCTGGCGTGCTCCTCTGTAAGGCACATGCTTGGATGATGGCTGCAGGCTGCTAGTGTTCGCATTGACAGAATGCGCAACATCGGTTTGAGTTTCATTGTCGTGATGCTCTTCTGTGAGGACTTGTGGATAATAATTGATGCCGGCTGGAAATGCTGTGGTGGTGCTGATGCAAAGCACTAGGATTGTGGCGAGCAACTGATGAAAAATATAGATGCTGATTAGGAAAATTGCGATAAAATAATGCTGACTTAATTTTACAAATAGACGACCGCTAACTCTCGAAATGTTTCTTCTTTAAAACTGATAGCAAAATATAAAAAACGTATAAAAAATACAATATATCATCAAAATAAGGTTCGACTCTTCAACATCGTGATTAAGTGCAGTTATCCTTCAAATTGTCTATGGTGTGAACAATCTACAAGATTCCAATTCAAATATGAATGATTAATTAATTCCTAGGCACTTTTAACCTAAATCTTAAGGATATCGCTGCGGGAGAAGCGGCATAAAAGAGGAATGACGGTGTTAAGAATATTACACCGCCAGAATATAGGCAAAAGTAGCGTGCGCTTATCATCTATTGACAGTTACTAGGAGAGAAATATGTAATGTAGCATGAACATCGCTGAAAAGAGTAGTGAGTTTTAAACGCTAATAAAAGAGAAAGCCTTCACGAAGATTTATAAATGATGTGTTTTTTTTTGTGGATCAATTCATTTCTGTCCTCATCAAAGGAATACCGAGACTGAAGATGGCGTCTGTCTCTTTGGACCGTGAGAGAAAGAAATGAAACATACCTTGAAATAATTAAGCATCATGAACAGTGATCTGTTTGTAACGTTGCAATAAGTTCTACTATGGATTTTTCAGTCTTGATATCAAAGAGTCTCTTGATATATGAACCAAATCAACTGGCAGGCCTACCTTATATACAATCCATGGGAAGAGACATTTTTAGAAAATCAGCTTGCGTTCGAAAATGAAGGAACCAATTTGAAGGCAAGCCACCATGGAATGCATGGGCAACCAGAAACAGCTATGATGTAACAACATCCTCTTCAGTTCTTTGCCATCAATGTGACGCACATCTTCCTCGTTTATTGTGCCTAGAAAAACGAAGTGAACTTCCCTTGTAACAGAAAGTAGGATGAGTGAGTCTTCTTAACATGCAGTGGCGTAAACTGTTCCACGCCCTCCTTCGACTTGTTTTGTGTTCTTTGTTGTTTCAAAGAATGCGGTAAATGTTTAATTTTTTCATGTAGTGCAAATATTTTGATATTCACAGGGGATTCCCTTCAATGTTACTCCTATCAAACTGGGCTGGTTGACAAACGTCAAACCTGATTGCGACCTTGGCAGGTTTGTGGAAAAGTTATTGCTAAGCAGTACCCAAATTATATACCTATATGATATATATACTGTAATAAAGCTTCCTTAACAATTAATACGAGAAAGAGAAGACCGGCAGAAAATGGTAAAAAAATTGCGGAAGGACTTGCTAAAACGGCATAATGACTCACAAAACAGCGGCACTGAATCCTTTCGTAATTTTTTGCAAATGAAAAGAGCCTGGTTGTTCTCCGTTCGCATTGTCAACTTAATTAAAGTTAATAGTTACGTATAGTATCTTAAACAGTCGCCGATACTCTCTTTTTGTACTCATATAAATTTAATCTGGTCCCCAGAAGATAAAACCGCTCTCTAGAGCCAGCCATGTTTTATCGCGTGGTTTGAGAGTAAAGCCTCAAGTTTCTCCATATTTACGAGACGTAATCAAACAGAAATTGCTCGATCGTCGTTTCTTTCTTCTTTAATTTCTTTTCTTTAATAAATATTTAATATGTTTGAGAGGTCAGGTATAAGAAGTAAGAACTATTGGTCTTTTTCTAACCTAGCGGCAGGTAGATCCATTCTTGCTGAAACTTTAACAGTTTCCGAGAATGCGGTAATAAGGTAAGAAGGAAAATTTAATTCACTTTCTGAGAAAAACACTGGGTGAACCCCCAAAGATCTGTCGGAAATCCTTTGTTAAACACTTACGTTACGAAAGTGAAGTAAACGGAAAAAGAGAGACCGGAAAAAGAAAAGCAATATGATCAATCAAGAAAGAGAGTACACTTGGTTCTGGCATGGAGAAATGAAAAAGCACGAATGATTTGTTTTCATTAACATCTTTCTTATTTTCACACACATGAAAAAAAACAAGAACAAAAACGAGGAAAAACGTTTTCCTGAAGTTCTAGTCAGGTTCGTGGTCGAAAAGAAAACGTATTATGACTGCGTGGCTCACTCGCTCGTCCACTGAAATCGCGATCTACATCACACACGACTACATCTTGAGACAAACGAAAAACTTAGCTTTTATTGTTATTCACCACAATGAATAGCCACAACCTTTTTTACGAAATTAGACTGAAGTAGACTGTCACAACACATTTGCAGCTGGACGTTTTCTTCTTTTGTAAACTATCGATGAAGGATTTGGGCTAAGAAATAATTTTTACCAAAGCAGATTCACAACACCTGTCTCCAAACTTGCACCATTACGCGTTACGAAAAGAGAACTTGAATTGAGCTCGTACGCACCCGTATGATATAGTATAAACTTTCTAATTGGATTCTGATAAGGGCGGAGGCGGGGGTGGGGGGGGAGGGGGTATGGGGGTATGTGGGTATGGGGTTGGGGGTAATTAGAGCTCTTATTTATAGACGGGAAGCTATTCAGAAAGCAAAGTGCCATACTTTGTTAGTATACTATAAGTGCCACATGTAATGTCATTCCCTGAGTTACGTTTGGTTTTTGATTTACAGTGAATGTCAAATTTTACATGACTATTTTTAATTCTACCACAGCATTCAAGTGACTGTGTTAAGTTCAGAGACGAGTAAACTGAGAGAGAGGATGAAACATGCTCACGAGGGTTTACAGATTTTACCCACGAGTCTTGATATATTTCTGCAGAGATAATCTTCATTTTACCTCAGCTTGAAGAAAAGCTACTTAAACGCCCGACGCAAAATGTGACAAGTACACAGGACAAAAAAATGTTTTCTCTCATCCTGTTGGCTAATAGTTCAAGGTCATTCTCTAGAGATCAAATTTTTATGTCATTACTAAGTTAACAAGAATGCGGAATGGCTTGGATTTTGTCTTAGCTCAGTACTTACGTAAGACATGGGGATTCCCGTTACTGTCAATAGTCGCGTGGTCAAGACACTTTCGCTTAACCCAAACAGATTCGGTAACGGATAAGCCAACCTTTACACAGTCTTTGCGCATCTCCTTAATCCTTCCGATCCCTTCTCAATTCAAACTCTCTTGTTGTGGTCGGGAAAGCTCCATTAAGGGTTTCTGGGCACGATCATTCTATGAACATTCATCCCGGCAAAAGATGAGATTGTGTTCTGGTCTATAGACGTCTCAATTATCAGTTATATTTGACGGAAAAGATTTGTGACATATATCATGTGTTTGGTGGTATTTATGCTATTCATAATTGTCAAACTGATTTAACAGAGCTATGTTTTTATGTCGAAAACACCCGAGGAAAACAATTAAAAACGTGCATGAGGAAATGAGGGAGACACTTTCCCGGAAGTCATTTTATCTCCTATCGTACGCTGATGCTTTCATTAAGAAAAACTCTCTTTTCCTTTCTCGAGTTTCACCGTTTCTTAAATTAAGACTATTAAAACCAATGAAATCAAATAGACCAACTTTACATTCCTCCTTGAGCCTAAACATTTAGCTTCACTAGTAACAAGCGAGCTTTTTTCCTTTTACGGACTTATGTCATCGTAACGTCTCTTGCTTCAATTTATTTAGCCCTTTCTGCCCATATAAGTTTGTCAACCGACTGTGGATTAAATTTATGTTGATTCAGCATCACTTTGACATTCAGACATGTAAACTTGATTAGCGAAGGTAATAATGCGTATATTACAATGATAA